ACCCAAACAACTAACACAAACAATAGGGGCAAGGAATAAATGAATCATAATAAATTCCCGATAAGGGAACAGTATCAAAACAACAACATCCCGTCATGGGAACAACATTAGAATCAACAACGTCCCGCAAGGGATCAATACCATAATTCTCTTCTCATTTTCACATTTATCTCAAAACTTGGTTCACAATTTGAGCCAATGCTCTATAAGGTTCAATTGCCAATTATACTTTCACAAATCACTTTGCAACTTGAGGCATTGCTCTTAAATATACAAATACCAATATTCTTTCCACAAAGCTTGCTCAACAATAGCAATCACCATATTAAACATGAACAATACAACGGAGTCACACTAATCATAACACAAGACTCACGGGCATGCTTGACACCAACGTATAGATACTCGTCACCATGCTTATACGTCGTACTCAACAAATAACAAATAGAAAATAGGACACAACTCCTAATCACTCAAGTCAAGGTTAGACCAAATACTTACCTCGATGCCTTTAACACAGTTCAAGACTCAACTATCACTTTACCTCTTGATTCCACCGCCAATTCATTCGTAGCTAGCCACAAGTTAATTAATTATATCAATAAATGCTAAATGAATCAATTCTAATGCATGGACCCCGGGCCCAAAACCCGAGGTTCGAACCACAACCCGACTACCCATTCACTCACGAACTCAAATATATAATTTTTTTGAAATCGGACCTCAAATCGAGGTCCAGATCCCCAAAATTTGAAAAACCTAGGTTCTACCCAAAACACCTAATTTCCCCCATGAAAACCTTTGATTTTGAGTTGAAATCATGTGAAAAGATGTTATAGATTGAAGAAAATGAGTTGGAAATAACTTACAATCGATTAGTAGAAGAAATTGCCTTTGAAATATTGCCCAAGAGTGTTTTGCTTTTCAAGAGATATGAAAAATGGTTGAAAATGTGTCTAAGTGTGGATTTATCGCAATTGCGACCAGGGTTCGCAATTTCGAACCCCTTCAGGACCTGCTATCTTTGCAATTGCGTAGAATATGTCGCAATTACGACACTGGAAAAAAAATCACTAAACGTCTCATTTGCGACAATGGGTTCGCAATTGCGAACCCTGAAGGTTCCTGCTCCATTCGCATTTGCGACTCCTTGAAGCAGTCCGAGCACTTCGCAATTGCGAGCAAGGCTATCCATGGCCTACTTCGCAATTGCAAAGGGCCCCTCGCAAATCCCATAATCTCATGCATTGCATTTGCAATCCCTGATCTCGCAATTGGGAGATCAGAGGCCAGCACCAGACCTGCAACCTGTAACATTTTTCCTAAGTCCAAATTTCACTCTGTAGCATATCCAAAATCACCCGAGCCCTCGGAGCTCCAAACCAAACATGTACACTAACCCAAAAACATCATACAGACTCACTTGTGCATTCAAATCACCAAAATAACATCAACAACTATGAATTTAGCATCAATATCATGAAATCACTTAAGAACATCAAATTTTCAAATTTTCTCGAATAAGGTCCGATTCACGTCATTTCAAGTCCGTTTCTTACCAAATTTTACAGGCTCGGCTCAAATCATATATAAGACCTGTACCTGGCTCCAGAATCAAAATACGGGCCCTATACCAATGGTTTCAATCATAAATTGTTCTCTTCGTTTCATAATTAATTCAGCAAAACAATTTCTTTAAAAAATTTATTTCTCGGGCTTGGGACCTCGGAATTCGATTCCGGGAATACGCTCAAGTCCGATATTTTTCCACGAACCTTCCGGGAGTGTCAAATCACGGGTTCGGGTCTGTTTACCCAAAATGTTGACCGAAGTCAACTTAAATTCACTTTAAAGTCAAATTCATCATTTTAACAGGTTTTCACATATTGGCTTTCCGGCTATGCGCCTGGACTGCGCACGCAAATCGAGGTGATATAGAAAGAGGTTTTCAAGGCCTCGGATCGCAAAATTTATTTTTAAAAACAATTGATGACCTTTTGGGTCATCACACGCAGAAGCGGTTGTTGGGCCGCAAGTGCGAAGGACAGGCTGGGTAGTGTGTTTCTTTAAAACGAGGGTTTGGCTCTTTTTCACTTCACTTCCTCAATGGAAGCCGGTCTTGGAGAGATTTTGGAGCTCCATCTTCATCATCTATGTCAAGGTAAGTGATTCCCACCAATTGCAAGGTAAATACTTGGATTATACATGGACATAGACATGAAAATTCTTAGAAATTTGGGATTTTGAAGAAAATCCTAGAAATTTGTATTTTTTAATTTTGACCACGAAACTAGACATGGAATTTGGAATTAGTTATATATTTGAGTTCGTGTTATAGATAAAGTTTCTCTTCGAACATTTTCAAAATCCGGCCACGTGTGCCCTAGGGTTGATTTATCGATTTTTCGAGCGGAGTTGGGAATTTGTTTAAATTGGATTATAATGCGTATTAGAGTATATATTTATGAATTTTCATATTTATTGACTAGTTTTGGGGCGTTGGGCATCGGCTTGAGTTGTTGGAAAGGCTTGGGAGCCAGCTATTGAACTTCTAAGCGAGGTAAGTCTCTTTTTTAACCTTGTAAGAGGGAATTAACCCCATAGGTGAATTGAATCAATATGTGCTTCTATTTGTGGAGCCTACGTACGCACGCGGTGATGAGAGTCCGTACGTAGCTACTAATTATCCCTATGTCCGAGTAGTTCTAGGTTTACACCATGCCTTGTTGATACCAATATTTGATTATGTTTATTATTTTCCTTGAAAGGAATCGAGATCGAGTATGCTTATTAAATTCCTTGAAAAGAGTTGAAATTGAGGATTTCGAGATATGAAAGTTTTCATTTGAACATCGTATTTTTTAAAAGAATTGAAGAATATTATAATAATAACTTAATAAATCTATGTGCAACCGCGTCGCAAATATATTTCCGCGAGCAAGGTAAATTTCCACCACTCTCATGGGAGCCGGGTCGTTCACCTCGGCAGGTTAAATAAATGCATCTATGGTTCGTGTTGTTCGATACTGGGCAGTGTATAGTTTATATTTATATGTTAGATCGGGCCATACGACCTTGACATGAGTTGCGCATGATTGAATTGGTTGCTTTGGAATTTATAATAATTGATATTGCCTCGTTGGCCTGAGATATAAATTGTTAAATGATGAAAAATAATAAATATTGAAATTTCTTAATTATAAAAGAATTGTTTACTTACTTCATGATATTGAGCATAAAGCCGTTCTATATAATTCATGCCTAATTATATCATTGGTATTTTATTTATAGCCCATAGTAAGTGTCGGAGTCGACCCATCGTCACTACTTCTTCGAGGTTAGACTGGATACTTCGCGTTAATTTACATACTCATACTACACTTGCTGCATATTTATTGTGAAGGCACATATATGCTCAGTGGCCTTGTGGGCACTGAGGCGTTGTTAATGCGGGGACTTAGGTGGGCTGCATTCCATGTTAAGATCCGTACTCAGTAAAGTCTCCTTCAGAGTTATTTTTATCTGTCCTGTCTAATTTGTGTTTCAAATAGATGTTGTATTTTATTTTATCTTCCTAATTGATGCTCATGCACTTGTGACACCGGGTTTTTTGGTGATTATGGATTGTTCAGTATTGAAATGGTTAAAATATTATTATTCACTCTATAAATTCCATCTTTTACTATTTAATTGAAGGAAATTATGATTTAAAAAATACTAAAATGAGAACCAAATTAATTATTTATTGTTGTCTTGCCTGACAGCGATGTCCGGTGCCACCACGACCTTTAATGAATTTTGGGTTGTAACAAAAAGGATAAAGTCTTGAAATGATTCAAGAATGCGACAACCACGATGTAAAATAATTTTGTGCGTGACCAAGGAGGCTACGAACTAGTACTATATTATATGGTCATAATAATAAGTTTCGGAGGCATTTTATTAGGAGGTGTTTTGAAAATTAACTAAGGTATAAGGAGAGCCCTAACACGAAGTTAAATTAGAAGTTATACTACAGACCAATATTTCAATGAGCTCACACAACCTTCAATTTCGAACAAGCATATCTATCGGTGTATGATGAGTTAGGTGGTGAATACCTATAAAATTAAAGGTCTTCAAGTCTAGTTCCTAACTTAATAAACCGTTCGTTAATTTGATCTCAATACAAAAAGTTATGTGCATTTTAGTATCAAACTGTGTAGTGCCTTATGAATATAGGACACGTGGCACCTCTTTAATGTTAAATATGCCAAACTTTATGCATTGTAAGTTGAAACTTCGGGAATTTATTCTTATTCATTGCTAGACTTTTGGGGGCAGAATTTCTCCATTTTTTCACTCCTCTCACTCTCCAAGATCAAGGCAAATATTTCAATTATTTCTCTAGCTTAACTCATCTTCAAGGACATGAATCTCACTTCAATCCATCTTTTAATTTTAGAAGCAAGGTCTAGCTCTTGGTAAATTCAAGCGAAGAATTTCTAAGGTTCTATCAATAAGGTACAAAATCTTCTTCTAGGCCATGACATAGATTCATATGAATATTTCTAGTATGTTTTATGGTGAGGACTCATAGGATGGTGATCGGAAGTTGTGAGTCCAAGTTTCGCTATAAATAGGAGAATTAGTATCTATTATAGGACACGAGAAATCATCTATACTCAAATACTATAATTTGCTCTCATACTATAAAATGTTTCGCTTGTTTTTGTTCTTAATATTGTTCGAATTACTGCTTTCAGAGAATTTTATCATACAACCAAGCTTGTATTTCTTTAAGCTATTTTCATATTCTTGACTTCATTCTTATTTATTCATCTTTTTGGATCAAGTTAACTCACGTGTCTATAAACCACATTACAAATTCAACTATATCGTTTCACAGGTAATAGTTTGGCACCGATCGTGGGGCATAGTCAATTGTGTATTTGCTTAGATCCATTAATCTGTTACTAAGGAATTTTGATTCCTTTTTTCGCGAAAGAAAAAAATCAGATATGGCGGCTAATGATGTGAACAATTTCTTTAACATTGGATATAACGACCCGGCCGGCCGTTTTGAGAATTTAAGCTTCGTTCTGTGGCGTACGGTCTCGAACAACTTCATAATATGAGTATCGACTTGCGTGCATGGTTGGATTCAGTTAATGGATGATTCAGAGTCAGATTGGGAGAAAGAATCTAGTTTTGGAAGTTTGAACGGTGAAAATTTGACCGGAATTGGACTTTTGAGTAAACGGTCCCGGAGTGGTTTTCGAGTGATCTCAACAGCTTCGTATGGTGATTTTGGGCGTAGGCGTGTGTTCGGATTGTATTTTAGAGGTCCGTAGCTTATTTAGGCTTGAAATGTTAAAGGTTGAATTTTTGAAATTTCCGGATCAATATTGAAAATTTGATATCGGGGTCGGAATGCAATTCTGAGAGTTCGAGAAGCTCCGTTATGTCATTTTGGACTGGTCTGCAAAATTTAGCATCATTCCAGGTTGATTTGATCGGTTTCGGAACATTTTTTTGAATTTGGAAGATTTGGAAGTTCATAGTTCGATTCATGGAGTGATTCGTCGTTTCAGCATTGTTTGATGTGATTTGAGACCTCGAGCGAGTCCGTATTAGGTTATGTGACTTGTGTATGTATTTAGACGGAGTCTCGGGTGCCTTGGGTGTGTTCCGGGTGGGCCACGAGTCATTTTCCCATTTTTGAAACTGATGTTTTGTTGCTTTTCATATTCTCCTTCGGGATCGCGAACAGCCTCTCGCGTTGGCGATGCCTTGTTGCTGACCACCACGAAATCTTTCTTCGCGTTCGCGTCAAACGCTTCGCGTTTGCGAAGCCCTACATTTTCCTTCTTCGCGTTCGCGTCCCTCCCTACGTGATCGCATAGGTTCCTGCTTTTCTCCTCTGCGTTCTTGAGCTCATCATCGCGTTCGCGATGAGCAACCTGGGCAGCCTTAATTTTTCTTCTTCGCGAACGCGGTCCTCTCTTCCCGTTCGCGATGCACAAAAACCTGGGCAGACAGAATATATTCCAAAATTGAGGGTTTCACCATTTTCATCACATTTTGACTTCTAGAGCTCGGTTCTTGGCGATTTTTGGTGGGTTTTTCACGAAATTCGATTGGGTAAGTGTTCTTAAACTATAATTAAATATATTACATGAATTTTTTTTTTATCTTTATCATTTAAATTGTGTTTTGGGTTGGGGAAGGAGGTGTTTTGAAGAAAGATTCTAAAATGAAAAATGGCGATTTGAGGGACCAAATGGTACCGGCATTTGATAAACTTAGTATTATTGAACTCGTATCGGAATGGGTAATTAGTTTTTGTAAAATTTGTCGGGTTCCGAGGTGTAGAGGTCTGGCGGTCGACTTTTGGACCGATTTTTAGAATATTATCAAGATTAAGACTTTATGATCCGGAATAGTCTCTTATGCGTTTTATTTGTGCTTTGAAGTTAACTTGGTTAGATTTGAGCCGTCCGGAGGTCTTTTCACCCGAGAAGTGCATCTTAGAGTATTAGTTTGTCGTCTTTGAGGTAAGTATCTTGCCTAACCTTGTGTTGGGGACTTCCCCTTAGGATTTGAGTCTGTTATGTTGATTGTAGTTCGTGTACGCGAGGTGACGAATGCGTGCTCGGACTTATTTGTGGAAAAATTGGCCTTTTAGAGTTCTTAGGTCCTTATATTCAATGTGTATGAATGTGTACTTGATATGCTTGAGTTTTCCACTTACTAGTTTCACCTCTACATGCTCTAATTGGAATTAATTGCTCATAATTCATTCTTAGTGCCCATTTGACTCTTATGTTGCTTAACTGAAGATTTTTACCTCTTCTATTGTCTTGATTGAGGTGATGATTATCTTCCCGCTGCTCATCCTTAATTGAAATTATTGTACATTCTTCGTAAATTGCCCAACCTTAAAAGAAGTTTAGACAATCTATATTTTGTTGACATTTCCTTCTTTGGAATTATTTGATTCGTGTTAGCTTCCTTGTTGTTCAATTACTTACTGTGGGATCGTTGCTTCATATTATTTTCTCCCTTTTTGAGTTGTTCTTATCACGCTTAGTATTCTCTATTGTGGTTATTCCTTGTGACCTAGTTTTACCGTCTCCTTGTGATCGAAAGTTCTTGAGTTGATTTACTCATCGTGTTCTTGTGTATATTGTCATTGTTGCTGTTGCACTTGTTGTGGTGGTGCACGAGGTTTCTACCGTGCGGTTGTTGATATTGTGATGAACGAGGTTTCTGCCATGCGGCTGTCGTTATGGGGTTGCACGAGGTTTCTGCCGTGCTATTGCTACTATTGATATATTTCACATGCGGCGGGATAAGGCAGGATATGTATATATATGCTTATATGTGTGTTGCGCATGTGGTGAGACAAGGTGAGAACATTATGATGCACGTGTGGCGAAACAAGGCGGGCACTTATTATTTTATTAATTGCACACGTGGCGAGACAAGGTAGGCTATGTCAGGGGTTGATTGTGATGATTTGTGATGAACTGAGGCCATTCTTGTTGTCTAATATTGTGTTGTGGTACACTTACATGTATGAGCTAAATCTTGTGGAGATTGTGAGGAAACATCTTACGTGATGCCCGTTCTTTTCCTTACGCTTATTAGCTGGTAGGAACTATGTCAAAGCACTTGCACAAGCATACACATAGTTTAACACTCTTATTGGATGTTAAGTCCTCCTGATTTTGCTGAGTATAGATGTACACCCTCCTTTAGTTGTTATATATGTGAGAGTGGCTCTAGTTAGCAAGTGAGTTGTTAGCATGACCATGAGGTTGATGGGGGCACAGGATGCCAACTGTCAGATTTCAGGTACTGGGACTCGTGAGCTGTAATTTGTCCGAGATTTGGTGCTTCATGGAAATTGTTGGATAAGACCTGATGAGAACACTGTCGTAGGACCTGAGTTATTGCTTACCATTACTGTATTGTGAAATTAGGATTTGGGTTTGTGTTTTCGTTCGCTCTTCTATGTCAATATTTTGGTATTTTAGCTGTTACTTGCCATTTTTTTCTTCCCTTATTGTGATTGTAGTATTGTTTACCATTTCGTGTAGTCCTTATATATACATCATGTTTCGTTGTTCCTATATTTGTACAGTTTATTGGACCGGTAGGTGTCTTGATTGTTCCTCGTCACTACTCCTCCAAGGTTAGTTTTGATACTTACTGGGCACCGCTGTGGTGTGCTCATGCTACTCTTCTGCACATTTTTGTTCTGCAGATCCAGGTACTTCCATTCAGTCTTATCACCCTTGAGGCGATGCGCTTCTGTGGAGACTTCGAGGTATATCTGCCGCGTTCGCAGACCGAGGAGTCCATTTCTATCTTTCTGTATTAAGTATTGCCCTTTAGTAGTTTCCTTTTGTTAGACATTTTCGGAGTTAGAGCTTCTTATGTATCTCTTAACTTGTGATTCATAGGGTTCCAGATTTTGGGAGTTTTAGGTTGAGATTTTGTACTGTTATGTGCTAGGCGGCTTCTTAAACTCTATTTTATTTTACTACTTCAGTTTTTAAATTATTTCTTCCGCAATTGTTGTTTTTATTCCACATTGTTAGGCTTACCTATTCGTACAGATTAGGTGCCGTCACGATGGTTCACGGAGGGCAAACCAGGGTCGTGACAAGTCAGAGCTCTAGGTTCATAGGAGTCATGAATCACAAGCCGGTTTATAAGAGTCTCGCGGATTCGTACGGAGACGTCTGTACTTATCTGCGAGAGGCTATATAACTGTTAGGAAGATTTTGCTTCATCTGAATTCCTAGTCGTGCGAGATTTTGATGTTATAATTCTAAATTTCTGTCTTCTATTCTCTCCCAAATTGTGAGAACTCGTGCTACCCGGATGATCAGGCACCCGCGCCCCCTACTGCAGCGCCCACGTGGTGCAGCCAGAGCACCCGCACGAGCTCCCACCGAGGTACCACTAGTAGTTCCAGCCGGAGTCCAGGCACCTGATACGCCTACTGCTACTACTACTCCAGCTCTTCAGGAGACTCTTGCGCAGCTCATGAGCATGTACACCACTTTGGCTCAGGTAGGGTTGCTTCCCCTTGTTGCAGCCACATCTCAGGCCGGGGGAGAAGCACAGACTCTCGCCGCTCGCACTCCTGTGCAGCGAGTGCAGGTTGATCAGGTCCTAGAGATTATTCCTATACAGCCTGTAATCCCAGGTCAGCCCGAGGACGGGGCAGTGGCTCCAGAGGATGAGCAGCGGAGACTTGAAAGGTTCAAGAAGTATGATCCTCCTGTATTCAGTGGGTTAGCATCAGTTGATGCCTTGGGATTTCTGGAGGAGTGTCACCGTATCATCCGCACTATGGGTATATCAGGATCGAGTGGGGTTTCTTTCACTGCCTTCCAGCTTTGAGGAGCCGCCTATGAGTGGTGGCGCACCTATGAGTTAGAATGCCCGAATGAGGCAGCTTCACTGACTTGGACCTAGTTTTCAGATATGTTCCTGACAGAGTTTGTTCCTCGGAGCCTCAGGGATGCATGGCGCCCAGAGTTTGAGCATTTGCGCCAGGGTACTATGACTGTCTCGGAGTATGCTGTCCGTTACACCAGCTTGGCTAGACATGCCCCAGCCTTGGTTTCTACTGTTCGCGAGAGGTTTTGCCGGTTTATTGAGGGGCTTATTCCCAGCATCAGGTCTAGAATGGCTCATGAGTTGGAGTTGGATATTTCTTATCAGCAGGTGGTGAGCATTGCTAGGAGGATAGAGGGTATGCATGCTAGGGAGAGAAAGGACAGGCGGGGCCATAAGAGAGAGGGCATACGAGATCATGAGAGAGAGTTTGAGGAGGCGAGGAGGCCTCATGGACCGGGGAGATCTGCTGGTCCTTATTTTGGAGGCAGGGTGTGACATGGTAGAGTTTTTGTGGGTCAGCCTGTTCATTTCGCGCTTTAGGCTTTGCATAGTGACTCAGGTGTTCATGGGTCTTGGGGTACCCGTACCGCACAGTTCTCACAGCTTCGTCAATAGAGAGGTTGTTTTGAGTATGGAGATACTAGCCATATGGTGAGAGATTGTACCAGACTTCGGGCTGGTGTGTCACAGCTAGGTATTCAGGCGAGTAGAGGGCGCCCAAGAAGGGGAGGCCCGGCTCGTTGATGAGTTTCATATAGTAGGCTTAAGGCCGCTACGCCAGCTAAATGCCATTCATGTATGATTTCAGTTTGTTATAGAGGAGCACCATCCGTAGTTCATTACAGTTCTGCTTATCGGGGTGAGTTCCCCTATTTGTTGCTCCATTTATGGGTGCGTTTCAAGATTAGCACTCTGTTTATGTGATTACCCTATTGGGAGGTTCTATGAGTGATAGTCATGCCTATCGTCTGTTTCTAGCCATTGTCGAGAGTTATGAGGCTAGTAGTAAATTCCTGTTGTCCTTTTCGGTAGGCTTGATATGATTTATGAGTATTTTGTCTACGAGCCGTGATGTTTATGATCCGCCGTGTGGCAGCCAGTACTTGTTGTAAATTGTGACGGGATTGATCTAGTGAGAGTTTCCAACTGATTTGATGTGTACCACACTTGAGATTCAGTGTTGAGGGTAGGACCCCTGTGATTTCATGTGATTTGATGTGTTGGGACCGGGTTGTGTACCACGGTGGGAGTTATATCAGTATGAGGTTCTTGTAATTCTTTTATATGCTTTAGTTCTTTATTGTTAGAATGTTTTTGTAGATTAGTATTGATTGAGGAATTCGTCCTTGTCGGGCTTGTTTGATAGTTCTGTTATGTGTTTCCCTTTCCATATTCAGTCATTTACGTTCTGTGCTTCTTGAGTTTTAGCTTGTGGGGTGTATGCCCGCTGGTATTAGCGGAAATTTGGTGATTCGGGTGTTTAGTTATGTGGCTTTCATAGTTATTATATCATCACCAGTGTTATGGAGGTTTGAAACGGGTTCCTATTGAATATGAGGCTTATGGCTGGTGCTGAATTTGATTTTGGGCGATATTGTTATCAGAAATGTTACTGTGGGCTTATATGTGATGTGTCATGTTGTAAGGTTGTACTATATGGGCGTTGGTATGAATTGATGCAGCTGGTTGAGACTGATACCGGGTATGGATTTAGAATCGGGTCTTTTAGAAATGGATGGAAGGTGAGAATTCTGGTTCTAAGGCTTATTGGTATTGTTAGAAAGGCTCAATTTCATTTGAGATGATGTCGTCAGGATTATGTGGAATGGGGTGATGTGGGATCACCCGCGGGTGTATGTTGCAAGTGTGCATTCAGTGACTTGAGGACTTCGAGGCGAATCTTGGCACGTTTGAGGATGAACGTTGGTTTTAAGAAGGGGAGGATATAACGACCGGCCGGTCGTTTTGAGAATTTAAGCTCTGTTCGGTGGAGTACGGTCTTGAACCGCTTCATAATATGAGTATCGACTTGTGTGCATGGTTGGATTGAGTTAATGGATGATTCAGAGTCAAATTGGAAGAAGGAATCTAGTTTTGGATGTTTGAATGGTGAGAATTTGACCGGAATTGGACTTTTGAGTAAACGGCCCCGAAATGGGTCGGATGATCTCAATAGCTTCATATGGTGATTTTGGGCGTAGGCGTGTGTTCGGATTGTATTTTTGAGGCCCGTAGCTTATTTAGGCTTGAAATGCTGAAGGTTGAATTTTTGAAGTTTTCAGATCAATAGTGAAATTTTGATATTAGGGTCAGAATGCGATTCTGAGAGTTGGAGCAGCTCCGTTACGTCATTTTGGAATTGTCTGCAAAATTTGGCGTCATTCCGGGTTGATTTGATCGGTTTCGACACAGGTTTTCGAATTTGGAAGATTTGAAAGTTCATAGTTCGATTCATGGAGTGATTCGTCGTTTCAGCGTTGTTTGATGTGATTTTAGACCTCGAGCGAGTCCGTGTTAGGTTATGTGACTTGTGTATGTGTTTAGAAGGGGTCTCGGGTGTGTTCCGGGTGGGCTACGGGTCATTTTTCCCATTTTTGGAACTGCTGTTTTGCTGCTTCGGGTATCCTCCTTCGCGATCGCAAACAGCCTCTTGCGTTCACGATGCCTTGTTGCTGACCACCTCGAAATCCTTCTTCGCGTTCGCTTCCAACGCTTCGCATTCGCGAAGCCTTGCATTTTCCTTCTCCGCGTTCGCGTCCCTCCCTACGCGTTCGCGTAGGTTCCTGCCTTTCTCCTCCGCGTTCGCGAGCTCATCATCGCGTTTGCGATGAGCAACCTGGGCAGCCTTACTTTTTCTTCTTCGCGAACGTGGTCCTCTCTTTGCGTTCGCGATGCACAAAAACCTGGGCAAACAGAATATATTCCAATATCGAGGGTTTCACCATTTTCATCACATTTTAAATTCTAGAGCTCGGTTCTTGGCGATTTTTGGTGGGTCTTTCACGAATTTCGATTGGGTAAGTGTTCTTCAACTATAATTAAATATATTCCATGAATTTGTCTTTATTTTTATCATTTAAATTGTGTTTTGGGTTGGAGAAGGAGGTAGTTTTGAAGAAAGATTCTAAAATGAAAAATCGTGATTTGAGGGACCAAATGGTATCGGAATTTGATAAATTTTGTATTGTTGAACTCGTATCGGAATGGGTAATCATATTTTTTAAAATTTTTCAGGTTCCGAGGTGCGGGCTAGGGGGTCGACTTTTGGACCGATTTTTAGAATTTGATCATGATTGAGACTTTATGATCCAGAATAGTCTCTTATGTGTTTTATTTGTGCTTTGAAGTTAATTTGGTTAGATTTTAGCCGTCCGGATGTCTTTTCACCCGAGAAATGCATCCTAGAGTATCAGTTTGTCGCCTTTGAGGTAAGTATCTTGCCTAACCTTGTGTGTGGGACATCCCCTTAGGATTTGAGTCTGTTATGTTGATTGTAGTTCGTGTACGCGAGGTGGCGAGTACGTGCTCGGACTTATTTGTGGAAGAATTGGCCTTTTAGGGTTCTTAGGTCCTTATATTCAATGTGTATGAATGTCTACTTGATATTCTTGAGTTTTCCACTAACTAGTTTCACCTCTACATGCTCTAATTGGAATTAATTGCTCATGATTCATTCTTATTGCCTATTTGACTCTTATGTTGCTTAACTGAAGATTTTTACCTCTTCTATTGTCATGCTATCTTTCATAACTGCTTGTCTTTATTGGAAATCATTATTATCTCCCCTGTAATTGTTTAGTCTTGATTGAGGTGATGATTATCTTCCCACTGCTCATCCTTAATTGAAATTATTGTACATTCTTCGTAAATTGCCCAACCTTAAAAGAAGTTTAGACAATCTATATTTTGTTGACATATCCTTCTTTGGAATTATTTGATTCGTGTTAGCCTCCTTGTTGTTGAATTACACACTGTTGGATCGTTGCTTCATATTATTTTCTCCCTTGTTGAGATGTTCTTTGATCGCTTAGTATTCTCTATTGTGGTTATTCCTTGTGACCTAGTTTTACCGTCTCCTTGTGATCGAAAGTTCTTGAGTTGATTTACTCGTCGTCTTCTTGTGTATATTGTCATTGTTGTTGTTGTACTTGTTGTGGTGGTGCACGAGGTTTCTGTCGTGCGGTTGTTGATATTGTGATGCACGAGGTTTCTGCCGTGCGGCTGTTATTATAGGGTTGCACGAGGTTTCTGCCATGCTATTGCTACTATTGATATATTTCACATGCGGCGTGATAAGGCGGGGTATGTAAATATATGCTTATATGTGTGTTGCGCATGTGGCGAGACAAGGTGGGAATATTATGATGCACGTGTGGCGAAACAAGGCGGGCACTTATTATGTTATTAATTGCACACGTGGCGAGACAAGGTGGGCTATGTCAGGGATTGATTGTGATGAGTTGTGATGGCCTGGGGGCATTCTTGTTTTCTAATATTGTGTTGTGGTACGCTTACCTGTATGAGCTTTATCTCGTGGAGATTGTGAGGAAACATCTTACGTGCTGCCCGTTCTTTTCCTTACGCTTATTAGCTAGTAGGAACTATGTTAAAGCACTTGCACAAGCATACACGTAGTTGAACACTCTTATTGGATGTTAAGTCCTCTTGATTTTGCTGAGTATAGATGTTCACCCTCGTTTACTTGTTATATATGTGAGAGTGGTTCTAGTTAGCAAGTGAGTTGTCAGCATGACCATGAGGTTGATGGGGGCACAGGATGCCAAGTATAAGATTTCAGGTACTGGGACTCATGAGCTGTAATTTGTCTGAGATTTGGTACTTCATGGAAATTGTTGGATAAGACCTGATGTGAACACTGTCGTAGAACCTGAGTTATTGCTTACTTTTACTGTATTGTGAATTTAGGATTTGGGTTTGTGTTTTCATTCGCTCTTCTATGTCAATTTTTTGGTATTTCCATCGTTACTTGCCATTTTTCTTCCCTTATTGTAATTGTAGTATTATTATCCATTTTGTGTAGTCTTTATATATACATCATGTTCCGTTGTTCCTATATTTGTACAGTTTATTGGACTGGTAGGTGTCTTGACTATTCCTTGTCACTACTCTACCGAGGTTAGTCTTGATACTTACTGGGCACCGCTGTGGTGTGCTCATGCTACTCTTCTGCACATTTTTGTTGTGTAGATCCAAGTACTTCCACTCAGTCTTATCACCCTTGAGGCGAGACACTTCTGTAGAGACTTCGAGGTAAATCTGCCGTGTCCACAGACCGAGGAGTCCCTTTCTATCTTTCTTTATTAAGTATAGCCGTTCAGTAGTTTCCTTTTGTTAGACATTTCCGTAGTTAGAGCTTCTTATGTATCTCTTAGCTTGTGATTCATAGGGTTCCAGAATTTTAGAGTGTTAGGTTGAGATTTTGTACTGTTATGTGCTAGGCGACATCTTAAACACTATTTTATTTTACTGTTTCGGTTTTTAAATTATTTCTTCCGCAATTGTTGTTTATATTTCGCATTGTTAGGCTTACCTAGTCGTAGAGACTGGGTGCCGTCACGATGGTCCACGGAGGGCGAACCGGGGTCGTGACATTGGATCACACAACAAATGCGAGGATGTTTCCCAACGTGATGATTCAACTAGAGAAAACCGCAATGAAGGAGATGAAATAACTCCAATTTGCGAAGGTAAAAATCCTCGGGATGTGAGGAGCCAACTCTTGATGATGCGAATGACGAACATGTTGTGGAAACAGTCTAAATATTGAGAGAGCAATTGAAGCTGGAACTTTCGATCGCTTCCAATAATTCTAATGGAGGAGTTCAGATTCCTCCCAGCGTCCCTGCAAATCAAATAGTTCGAAGAACTAGTAACGATGCTCCAAGGGAGGAGTTCGTTTTTATCAAGATATGAGGTACCGACAGTGGATTTGGGAATGACAATAATGCTAACGACCTTTTCAAAATCGAGATCATGAGATTCATGAGGGAAATGAATAAACAAATGGACCAAAATATAAATAACTTCATGCTCGAATAGATCAAATCTGGGAGCATCGCGGGGTGCTAAGGGACCAGATTCCAAGAAGTATACATAGTGGTCGTTCAAACTAAGTGCATGCCTGAGTTGATTTTGAAAAGGTTTAAGATGCCATCGAATATTTCTTGTTGAATAAAAATGGCGAAACCCTGGCGAAGGGTGCTTTAACTTTGTATTCTCTTTTACCTAAGCATTCCATTGATTCTTTTAAAATGCTTGCAGATTCTTTTATTAAAGCTCATGCTGGAGCAAGAAAGGTCCAAGCAAGAAAGGTGGATATATTCAGAATAGCACAAGGAGAATCCGAACAATTACGAGAGTTCGTAATCCGGTTTCAGAAGGAAAGGATGTTTTTCCCGGTAGTACCGTACGAGTGGGAAGCGAAAGCTTTCGTAAAGGGTCTCAACCCATTGAGCTCTGATGCTTCCAACAAACTGAAGGAAAGCTTGTTAGAATTTTAGGCAACCACTTAGATAGATGTCCACAATCGTTATGAGTCAAATATTAGAATAGAAGATGATCAAGTGAGTTCCTCGGTATCATCAAAAGGGAGTAATTGTGATCGGAATCAGGAAAGGTTTAAAGCTGATGTTGACACAGATCAGAGATCTTCTAGGGGTTTCTTTCAGAGTTACGAAAGGGCAGATGGGCAAGGAAATAAAGGTTTTCGATCATCGCATAGATTTTCTTCCAATAGAAGAATGGATCGTTGTCGGAGTAGAAGAACTTTACAGGAGAAAGAAGCATCGGGATCCCGAGATTTAATGTATCTCCGGTTATCCGACTATAACTTTAACATCAGTTTAGTAGTGTTGGTGTCAGCTATGAGAAATGTTAAGGAGGCTAGGTTTCTGAAGCTAATTCAATCAGATCCTAGTTAGAGAGATCCTACATTATGGTGTGAGTGGAACACATGGTCACAGGACTCGGGACTGTCGGCACCTTCGTGAAGAGGTGGCAGCGTTGTTGAAGAATGGTCACCTCAGAGAATTGCTAGGTGATCGGGCCAAGAATAATTATGGGAAAAATCATGACGCTAGGGAGCTAACCAAACCGGTTGTAGGATCACCTCTTATGGGGATAAACATGATTTTTGGTGGTAATAAGGTTAATAGGGTGACATTTTCAACAATAAAGAAGATGAAGATATCGGTAACTCATGACAAGAGAATATGAGAAGATGCGGAGGATGACATCACCTTCATAGAGGAGGATGTTGATGGACTTCTTCTACTGCATAATGATGCTCTAGTAAAATCTCTTAATGTTTTAGATTTTAAAATTAAACGTGTGTTGGTTGATCCAGGAAGTTCAGCCAATATCATACAATGGAGAATTTTGGAGCAAGCAAAGTTAACCGGAAACATAGTTCCGGTAACAAAGCTTCTGGACGGGTTCAACTTAACGAGTGTAATGATCCGAGGAGAGATCTTTCTGCCTACACATGTCGAAGGAGTAACGAAGACCACTATGTTTGAAGTAGTAGATGGCGACATGGGGTACGATGTGATCCTTGGAAGGCCATGGATACATGAAATGAAGGTTTTGCCTTCAACTTACCATCAATTGCTGAAAATTTCCACACCGGAGGGAGTCAAGCTGATCAGAAGAGATCAGTTGGATGCAAGAGAGATAAACACAATTACCTTGTCTAGTAGCAAGGGAAAAGAGATAATCAAATGGCAACCACAGGAGCCGGTGCCCTCTTCCACCCCAGTTAAAGATAATAGAAAAGAGGAGTCATCACATTCTTATTAGGTACCAAGGTCTTTTCAGGTCCCGGAGAAAACAGATGCGACCAAATCGACTGCTGAAGAGCTTCAACAAGTGGTCTTATTCATAGAGTTCTTAGAAAGAAAATTTCACTTAGGAACATGGTGAGTCCCGAACTCAGGTTAAAAATTATTGATTTTCTAAAAGCTAACATCAATTGTTTTGCATGGTTGCATTAAGATATGACAAGTATTCTATTGGAAGTGGATGTCCACAAGTTGAATTTGGGTCCTAACTTCCTTCCGGTAAGGCAGAAGAAATGACCGATGGCAGAGTCATAAACATGTATGTCAAAGAAGAGGTAAACCGATTAGTAATATCGGTTCAATTCGAGAGGTAAATTATCCTTATTGGTTGGCTAACGTATATTACCTAAAAAGAATAATAAATTTAGTATGCATGTATATTATAAAGATTTAAATAAGTCATGCTCTAAGGATCCCTTTCCGCTGCCAAATATTGATCAAATGATTGATTTTATGGCCTAGCATGAGTTAAAGAGTTTTCTTGATGCTTATTCCTGGTGTAATAAAATTAGGATGCACCGAGAAGATCAAGAAAAGACCTCATTTATCACAAATTTTGGCACATACTGCTATAATGTCATGTCTTTTAGCATTAAGAATGTCGTAGCCACTTACCAAAGGCTTGTTAATAAGATATTTGAATAACAAATTGGTAAGACAATGGAGGTTTATATTAACGACATGTTGGTTAAGTTTCTTAAATCATCTACAAAAACATTCGACATTCTAAGAAAATAGAACATGAAGCTCAACCCGGGGAAATGTGCCTCGGAGTTGGTTCCGGCAAGTTCCTGGGATTTTCGGTCTCTCAAAGAGGAATTGAAGTAAACCCCAATAAAATAAAATCTATCGAGGATATATCAGATCAATTAACAAGTGAGAAAGAAGTACATAGGCTGACCAGTAGGCTGGCAGCCCTAAGCAGGTTTAATTGAAGGTCTCCAAAGAAATGACATCATTTCTTTTGGTTTTTGAAAAAGAAGAATGATTTCGTGTGGACTCCAAAATTCCAACAAGCCTTGAAAATACGCTCAAATTACACTTTAATTAAATAGTGTAAGGCGGTCGGTGTCAAACATAATAACCCAACAAGGTTGGGGTCGAATCCCACAGGGAATAGGTGTGAAAAGTTTACCCGATTAGTGTGTCACTTGACTTGAGTCATAATTCTATCCGGTTAATTGTAACAAGAGTATGGTATGATGGTAAATTGAAGAAATAACTAATTGTGACATTGAGAATGTAATTAATTTGATTAAAGAAACCAAGGTTGTGTCTCCTTCAATGAAGTGTAATGCTATTGGTGTTAATATGATATATTTCTAATGGAAGGTTCTTTTGACACACAAATAATTTCTAAATGACTACCCAATATTTTCGAATAGTAGGGTAGTATTTCCTCTTTATGATTTTTCCAAATATAAAAGAGTCGCAATTAAGAACAATCAACATGCCAAATAAAACTCACTTATTCCTAAGCGATTCTATTAAACAAGGTTTAAAGCCTTGAGTCTTTGATATTTACTTCTACCAAATTCTAACCCACTTTCCCAAGCAAAGTAAGAATTTAATGGCACTTGTTAATGTTTGCAACCACCAACAATAAATGAAGAATGAGAAGTAAATAAATATCAACCATATATATATATATATATATATATATATTCAATCTTAAACACCCATTAACATAACACCCATTTAGGGTCCACAACCTTAGTATTTAAAGTTAGCTACACATAATAAAATACAAAAGGATGAGAATATTTAATGCCATAAAGCTTACAAAGTGCAAGATTCTTCCTTTAAAAGCTTCCAAAAGAGAGGAATAATAAAGCCTTCTAATGTAGCCCCAAAATCAGACAAGTTGCCCCTACAAAACCCCCAAAAAATCTATTTATAGTGGGTCAAAATTCAGGACAAAAATACCCTTTTCGGTTAAATATGCGACCGCATATCTGTCGCATAACAGACATGCGGTCTGCATTCTTGACATGGCCATCGCATTTGCGAACCCTAGTTTCCAGGCCTTCATCGCATTCACATTTTGCGGTCCGCATTGCAGATATGCGATCGCTTTTCGCATCGCATTTTCCACCTTCAGCAACCTTCATGACGAGTTTGTGGTCCATTATGCGGCCCGCAAACACGTTATGCGATTGTAGATTGGACCGCATTTCTTGCACTGGACTTTGGCCAACTAACTGTTGTGGTTTGCGATTTCCTTGTGCATTATGCGGCCCGTATGTTGGATTTGCGGTCCGCATTTCCACATTTGCGATGCATTTTGTTCTTTTCTTGTCTTTTTTGTGGCTTTTTCATTTCATTTTCATGCTCTTATGTCCTTAATCCTCATACACTGCAAAAACACTAAAATTACATAAGTATACAAGATAATTGCATTTAAACAAGATAAAATCTAAGCAATTTGTAATAAATGTGCCGAAGGATATTAAATGTGCCGAAATCCTCCGGCACATCCACACCCCCAACTTAAACTCATGCTTATCCTCAAGCAACTAAAACAATACTATCATATTCTAGACTCCATCTACAAGATATGAAACAATAGTGACCGTGGACGGTGTTCGTTGTCAGTACTACAAGCATGCATTTTCGATTGTTTACCCTTCCTGAATCATCAATATTTACAATGAAACTAATCAACTTGTGAAACTTTTAGCCTCGACCAATTTGACAAAATATTACCCTCAGTTGAGTGCACTTGCATTTGACTCAAAAACTCAACTTCTGTCCAACCTCACAATTCATGTGCCCTTACTAGAAAGAAAGTCCCAAACTCACAATTATTTACAATGACAACATAATGGGACGAGTTTACAAATACACTCACTCTCAAAAAGAGTTTCAAGTGTTACAACATACCATACCATACGCTTGCCCTTATTTTAGTTCATCACTTTATTCTAAGAACGTTCGGTTGGAGATCCCATAAGGACTTTTTAAGCTTGTAATGTAGGTTTAGGGAATGGTCGGATAACATTTGGGTACAAGTGACTATACCCTCCTTGAATATTACTCACATTTTTCTTTCTTGTTGCTCTTTGCTTCTTTTCAAACCACATAGTCCTCATTAGCTTCTACTTTTCCAACATTGAGCCACCTCAACTGCCTCCTTAATTTTCCTCAAGACTCCATGTATATATATACTCACAACTCTTTTATCTTTTTTTTTCTCTTTTTTTTTTTTTGCTTTTGGAGCTTGAGTAGTTTCACACTTTGAGGTACACTTTCCTACACTCACTGCACAACCTTGCCAATTTCCGGCTTGACACCACACCCCCAACTTAGGCTTTTAGCCTCATTCTCAATGTTCAAGGAGGGACGGGTTAAGAAGAGGGAATCATTTTACAAAAAGGGAAAGGTTTGTAATGAGGTAGCCAAAGAAAAGGTTAAAGGCTCAAGTGGGGTGACTAGTGATACTATCTGTACAATGGGTGGCTTGAAAGGCTAACTGGTTTTCTAAAATTACAAAGACGGCCTAAGGTCATTTCTCCAACCAAATGTAATTATTATAAGCATCGAGAAAGCAACCGGGCAAGTTCTAGATAGAAGAAGTAAACACAAGAATTATATACACAAAGACTCACACACATGGAACACGAACTGTTTGGCTCAACATAGTTTTTAGCCCTCGAATCAACACATGGCAACTCAAAGCTTTCATCATATAAACAAGTATAACTCTAGGTAGACATAGAGTCACAGAGCGAGCCTCACGTTCACACAATTGATATCTCTTTTTTTTTTTTGTATTAATGGAAGGGTATAGGCTATATACAGACACAGATGCTTGAAACTAGACAATTACACCAAACTGGTCAACATGTTTCATCCTACAGTCCTGGTTCTACTATTACACCCTTGGAAAAGAACCCAGCGAAGAAAAACCAAGGGGAATTCATTGCTAATTACTAAAGATAAACATACAACTATCTACTTATTTTGTTTTTTTTATATATACAAAGATAACTTATGTACTAAAACCACACCACACCAATATATAGAGACTTATAAAACACAAATATATACAGAAGTTTGCTTATATAGCACAAAAGCATCAATATGTATAACAGTTGGATTCACAAAAATTTATACAAGGCTATCCCACCCCCAACTAAAAACATGCATTGTCCCCAATGCATAATAATGTAAAACAGAGTTTAGGGGCTCCCTGAGGCGCACTAAGCGCTATGGGAGTCGGAAGCCGGCTGAATGATGGTGGAGTCACCCTCTAATGCTGAAGGTGGGACCGATGAGATCTCGGCCTGAAGAGTGACCACCACTGATGGAGGACGGATCTCTGGCTGACCCAATACTAGAATTGGGGCCTGTGAGCTACTAGCCTCGCCCGTTGATGGCTGAGTGGTCGATGGATCTGCAGGGGCGACCATATCTGCTAGTGAATGTGCTATTGCAACCTGAATTGCTGCTTGTTCCTTATCCTCAACTGTAGAGGAAGAAATCCGCTTACCCTTCTCCTGAGGGCCATTATCCTCCTAGGACCATGAATCCTCCTCAGTCTCTCCCTCGTCTGCTTCCCCACCTTCGGACTCTGTTGAATGTCCGGAATCCTCCTCCGAAGGAATGTCAATATGTGCAGGGGGAGCTGGAGGCTGGGAAGCCCCGACAGTTGGAGGTGCAATATCTGTCATCAGTGTGGAGAAGTCAAGATCCAGGCCAGGTGCTGCTGTGTCTTCTCCCTGCTCAACTTCCTTGGGCAGGAAGGATGATAGATCGAACTCCAGAGGCTGCATCTTGTGGAGTTCAGGCTTCATAGTGGCAACTTCCTCCCGGAGCTTTGGTAAGTTACTAACCTCACCCTATTTATCTTCTCAACCCTCAACTCAAGCTGTTGCAGGCGATCCCCGTAAGATGTTTGTTGTTGTTGGAGTGCTGTCATTGAGAACTGTATGGGAGTCAAGGCCTGTCGGATGAGGG